AGGATATTACAGCATTGAACAAATGGACTTAACTAATATTATATATATAGAACCTTTCATCCCAAAGAAGCAAAATACACATTCTTTTCAAATGCCCATGGAACATTTTCAAAGTTAGATCACATGATAGGCCACAAAACAAACCTCAACAAATTCAAGAAAACTGAAATCATATCAAACACTTTCTCAGACCACAAAGGCCTGAAACTAGAAACAAACCTTAAGGAAAAAACTCAAAAACATTCAAATTTGTGGAGATTGAATAGCATGCTATTAAACAATGAATGGGTTAATAATGAGATCAAGGAAGAAATGAAAAAGTTTCCAGAAACAAATGAAAATGAACGCACAACAGTCCAAAACTTATCAGACACAGCAAAGGCAGTCCTGAGGGAAGTTCATACTGATACAGGCCTACCTTAAAAAAGGTAGAAACAGTTCAAATAAAAAACCCAACCTTACATCTACAAGAACTGGAGGAACAAAAATAAACAAAGCCCAGAGCAATTAGAAGGAAGGAAATAACCTAGATTGGAGTAGATTAAGAAATAGAGACTAAAAGAACAATTCAAAGGATCAAAAAATCCAGGAGCTGGTTCATGAAAAGATACACAAAATCGAAAAGCCCTTAACCAGATTCATTAAGAAAAAGAGACAGGACCCAAATAAATAAAATCAGAAGTGTAAGAGGAGAGATTACAACTAATACCAGAGAAATACAAAGGATTGCAAGAAATTACTATGAACAACTATATGCCATGAAATTTGAAACCCTGGGTGAAAAGGACAAATTTCTAGAAAAATTATAGCCATCCAAAACTGAAAGAAGATGCAGAAAGCCTGAAGAGGCCAATAACAGCTAGTGAAATTTAAGCAATAATCAAAAATCTCCTGGCACACAAAAGTCCTGGACCAGATGGTTTCACAGGAGAATTCCACAAAACATATAAGGAAGAGCTAACCCCTATCCTTCTCAGACTAATCCAAAAATTCTAAGAAGAGGGAAGACTCCCAAACTCTTTTATTTTATTGAGGCCAGCATCATCTTAATCCCAAAACCAAATAGACGCAGCAAAGAAAGAAAACTACAGGCCAATATTGCTGATGAACATAGACACTAAAATCCTTAGCAAAATATTGGCAGACTGGATCCAGCTATACATCAAAAAGGTCATCCACCATGATCAAATGGGATTCATCCCAGGGATGCAAGGATGGTACAATATTCACAAATCAATAAACATAATATATCACACAAACAAAAGACAAAAACCACATGATCATATCAATAGATGTGGAAAAAGCATTTGATAAGATACAGCACCCATTTATGATAAAAACGCTCAGCAAAGTGGAAGTGGAGGGAGCAAACAGCAACATAATAAAGACCATATACAGGAAACCTACAGCCAACATTATACTCAACAGGCAAAAACTAAAAGCTTTCCCACTAAGATCAGAAACAAGACAAGGATGTCCGCTTTGACAAAGAAACAAAAGGCATCCAAATTGGAAAGGAAGAAGTAAAACTGTCATTATTAGTATATGACATGATAGTGTACATAGAAAACCCGATAGACTCCACCAAAAAGCTACTGGACCTAATAAGTGAATTTGGCAAAACAGAAAGATACAAAGTTAATGTTCAGAAATCGAAGGCATTTTTGTATACCAACAATGAAATATCTGAAACAGAAACTAGGGGGAAAAACCCCATTTACTATAGCAGCAAGAAAGATAAAGTACCTAGGAATAAACATAACCAAGGAGGTAGAAAGACCTGTACTCAGGAAACTACAGAACACTGAAGAAAAAAGTTAACAAAGATACAAACAAATGGAAGTATATACCTTGTTCATGGATTGGAAGAATTAACATCATCAAAATGCCCATACTACCCAAAGCAATGTATAGATTCAACACAATCCCTATTAAAATACCAGTGATGTATTTCACACATATAGAACAAACATTTCAAAAATTTATATGAAACCATAAGTGACCTTGAAGAGCCGCAGCAATTTTGAGAAAGAAGAATGAGGTAGGAAGGATCACAATACCTGATATCAAACTATACGACAGGGCCACTGTAATCAAAACAGCCTGGTACTAGCCTAAGAACAGACACAACAATCAATGGAACAGAATAGAGAACCCAGAAATAAACCCATATGTTTATGGTGAATTAATGTTCAACAAAGGAGGCAGGAGCATAAAATGGAGTGAAAATAGCCTCTTCAACAAATGGTGTTGGGAGATCTGGACAGCTACATGCAAAAAATGAACCTTGACCACCACCTTACAACATACACAAAAATAAACTCAAGATGGATAAAAGACTTAAGTATAAGTCACAACACCATAAAAGTCCTAGAGGAGAGAGAACATAGGCAGGAAACTCTCAGATATTCCATGCAGCAATATTTTCACTGATATGTCCCTTAGAGCAAGGGATATAAAAGAAAAAATAAACAAATGGAACTTCATCAAAATAAAAAGCTTCTGCACAGCTAAAGAAAACATCAGCAAAATGAGAAGGGAACCGATGGTATGAGAAAATATATTTGTCAATGATACCTTGGACAAGGGTTTGGATGTCCAAAGTATATAAAGAACTCACACAACTCCACTCCAGGAAGGCAAACAACCCAAATAAAAAATGGGCAGAGGACATGAACAGACACTTCTCCAAGGAGGACATAAAGAAGGCCCACAGACATATGAAAGGATCCTCAGCATCACTAGCCATCAGAGAGATTGAAATTAAAACCACAATGAGATACCACTTCACATCTGTGAGAATGACCATCATAAAGAAATTAACAAACAACAGTGCTGGCAAGACTTTTGCAGAATAGGGAACCCTAGTGCACTGTTGGTGGGAATGCAGACTGGTGCACCCACTGTAGAAAACAGAATTTCCTCACAAAACTAAAAATGGAACTGCCTTTTGACCTAGCAATTCCACTGCTGGGATTATCCCCTAAGAATCCTAAATCACCAATTCAAAAGAACCCATGTACATCTATACTCACTGTAGTATTATTTACATTAGCCAGGTGCTGGAAACAGCCTATGTGTCCATCAGTAAATGAGTGGATCAAAAAACTATGGTACGTTTATTTACACAGTGGAATACTACGCAGCTGAAAGAAAGAAGGAACTCCTACCATTCACTACAGCAATGGATGGAACTGGAGGGTATTAGTGAAATAAGGCAGGTCGTGAAAGACAAATAATGCCTGCAATTGATGCTGGGACAATAGTTATCACTGTGCCAAAAAATGAACTTCAACCTATAATTTATCATATACAGAAAACTCAAAGTGGATCATAAACCAACATGTGAAGCCTAAAATTGTAAAACTTTTAAGGATGTAAGATAAAATTTTTGTTACTTTGTTTAGGAAACAATTTCTTAAATGTAACACTAAAATACAACTGGTAAAAAGAATTTTTCTTCTCTAGCTGATGTGGCTCAGTGGATTGAGTGCCAACCTGCAAACCAAAGGGTTGCTGGTTCAATTCCTGGTCAGGGCACATGCCTGGGTTGCAGGCCAAGTCCCCAGTAGGAGGCACTCTAGAGGCAACTACAAGTTGCTGTTTCTCTCCCTATCTCCCTCCCTTCTGCTCTCTAAAAATAAAAATTTTTTAAAAAGAACTGTTCTTCATAAAAATTAAAAACTTCTGCTCCTTAAAAAATATTTTTAGGAAAGTGAAAATATCCACAGACTAGGAGAAAATATTTGTAAAATATGAATTTGGTAATTGTTTGTATCCAGTATATATAAAAAACTCTTTAAAAAATCAATAAGTTCTGGCTAGTGTGGCTGTGGATTGAATGCAGGCCTGCAAATCAAAGGGTCTCTGGTTCAATTCCGTCAGGGCACATGCCTGAGTTGTGGGCCAGGTCCTCAGTAGGGTCACACAAGAGGCAGCCACATGTTGATGTTTCTTCTCCCTCTCCTTCTCCCTCCCTTCACATCTCTAAACATAATTAAGATATTTTTTTTTAAAAACCAACAGTAAACATGAACCCAATTTCTTAAAAAGATTTACAAATACATCATCTAAGATATATGGATGTCAAATGTACATAAGATATCCAACATTGTTAGTTATTACAGAAATGCAAATTAGAACGATGATATGGCTTAAATCAAAGACTGACTACACCAAGTGTTAGCAAGGATGTGGAGGAATCAGAAATTTCATACACTGCTGCATGAATGTAAAATGTTATACTTTGGAAAATTAAGTTAAACATAAATATTTGATCCAGTTATCCCAAGAGAAAAGCAAAGCATGTATCCATAGGAAGACTGGTACATGAATGCTAATAGCTGCTTTATTTCTAATAGCCCAAATCTGGAAATAATCCAAATGTCTATCAACAGGTAAATGGGTAAGAAACTGTGGTTTAGTCATACAGTGTAATAGTACTTGGTAATAAACAGCCATTATTGATACTTATAACATGGATAGATCTCAAACTATAGTGACAGAAACCAGACCCCCCTAAAAAGAATATATGCACTGATTCCATTGATACTAAATTACAGAAAATGAGAATGATTCTATATTGTCTTAAGGCAGACTAGTAGTTGTCTGAGGGCTAACAGACACAAGGAGGGGTGCGAGAGAGGGATTACACAGAAGAAACTTTTGAGGGTTTGATACGTTCACTCTCTTGACTGTTGTGATGGTTTCACGTGTATACATGTATCAAAACATCAAATTGTGTACTTTGAATATGTAGTTTAATGTATATCAATATCTCAAGAAAGCTATTAAATAAAAAGCATGTGGCAAATCTGTATAACGCTAAATTGAAATTATAAAATTGGAAAGACAAAAACTTGCAGAACACTATAGCCCTATTTTTGCAAAAGAATTTGTGCATATTAAGAGGATATGCAGTAAAAAATTAGTTACTATGCACTACCTGTAGACATATACAAAGAACATTGAGTAATTAAAAAATATGTTGTAGAAGCATCTTTATTGACATGGAAAGATGTTCACAATATATAGATAATGGCAGGGAGAAGCAAGTTACAAACAGTGTTTACAGTATGATCTTGTGTTAGTTTCTGAACTGTTTAAAAATTTCAAAGCATATAACCCATTATTTTCACAAACAGAGACATTCTCTTCAGCTCAGACCAGACTATAATTCCTACTATGGAATTATGGAGCCTTAGAGAACACATCCAATAATCCAAAAGCCCTGGGGATGTTTTCTGAACCATTAAGACTTCCAGGAATCACTGTTACATCAGATGAGACAGCAGCTTGTCTCTCAGCTTTCCTGTTCTGTGTTGATAAAGCTGTAATTCTGGGCCTAAATTTTTCCGATGAAGTTTATCTTGTAGTTTTGGCTGGTACAAAAGCAGAAAGCGGACTAGACTACTAGTAAAAGATAGAGCCTTTTGCCATTTCATAACATACATATGAAATAGGAAAAAGTACAAATGGTAAAAAGACTGATTTTCCAAGGAAGAAAGCAATTTTTCTTAAACATGTGGAACAATGTACAGAACGGTTCATTCTTTGAAAAAAGTAACCATTGAAAAAGATAAAGATATATAGCATATTTCACTTGCTGATGACTCCAAATTTACATCTTACTGAACAATTCTGGGTACCTACTGTTTAACACACTGCCAGTTCATATCCATATACTCATCCAACTTTTCTCCTGACCCCAGACATGTACAGCCACATGCCTAATGGACGTGCATTTGGAGAAGGTGAAGAACTGCAAGACTGGCAGGGACATTATCTACAGCAAACTGAATCATTAAAACCAGACAGAGTCTTCAGGGCCACCAGCTAATAATGTCTGAGGACTGTAAGGTAGCATAGCGAATGGGTTTTATTATCACACAAAACAGATACACCACTTGCCTGCTATGGGAATCTAGGAAAAAATATTAAACCTCTGAAATTCTCATTAGAGGTGATCCAATATAATAGGGTATCATTATCTAGCTCACAGGACTACTGGTAAAGGGAAAAACACCTGTTAAGTATAGTGCCATCACAGTATCTGACATAAGAGCAGGTACTCAGGAAATGTTTCCTCCCTACACCTACCTCCTTTCTGTTCTGAGATGACTTTGACATAAATCAAACAGCCTAACAGTGAGTTATAAACTTAGCAGCAGCATTTAAAAATGAGTATTACATTTTACCTAGGATTCAAGGACATTTCTGTGTTGAAGAGTAAGTTATACGATGCAGGGAGAATAAGAGAAAAAACAATTCCTCTTTCATTGAACAGCTTATAGAAACCCCTACCTTCTTTACATATCGAGAGCATACATTTTGCAATGAGTGCGCATATATGTATAATCTGTTAGTTATCTTTTTTTGTGTATATGCCTTATTTCTGAAACTAGATTTTAAGGCTTTTTTTAAAATTTTTTTTATTTTTTTTGCCATTTAAAGCCACAAATGGATCTAAGTAGATATAAATGAACAAGTTGGCTTACTCAGGATGAACTGGTTCATTAATTTAAATGTTGAGAAGCGCCCCACCTACACAAGATAACAATCAACATGCACTTTCAGCTCACAATGTAGTATTTATTTGACCCCCAAAATGGTCTATCTGAAACCTAGAGACTGTCACAGGTAATATTGTTAAAGATGTAATTTATAATGTGCACACTATAATAAACAAAGCATTATGCAAGGCTCTTTGAGGACAGACTATTAGATTTTAGAAACTGTTCTGTTTTTACTTCTGGCTCATTTTACATTGTTTCAATAATTACTTTAACATCACGGAAAATGGCCATGAGCGTATTATAACTCAAGTGATTGACAACTACAATTGAGCCCTTTCTGAAATGCTCCTTTATGTTAATAAATATGGCCACAGCACTAACAAGATTGGCTTTTGCTTCTTTCTGGTTAAAGATTAGTTTTAATGCTGCTAATGCCTTTGTATTGATCATGTCTCTGGCTGCAGCTGGGTTTTCAGACATATTCAAAAGTACTTTCAAAACAAGATTTCTGGTTTTACAATTTCCCTGGGAAAGCAAATTAAAAAGCTCTGAAAAGTAATTGGCTACAATATGGTGATGGTTCGAATCTGTAGTCAGTTGCCCTAGTATTTTTAAGCCAGATTGCTGTCCAGGTGAGTTCAAGGGAAAAGACATGGTTTCCTTACACATATGTTTAACATGTAATTCAATCTTGCGGTGTCTTTCATTCCCAGAAGGGGGATTCAGTGTAATTACAGCTGTTTTTCTCATTTCAGAGGAAGGAAAACTGAGCAAGCTTTCAATAAGCGTCACTACACCTACCTCATTAACGAACTCTTGGACAAATGGATGAACATTAATAATGCCCATTGCAATTTGAGCTATTTTGTGAATGAGAGGATCAGTAGTTGACTTAAGTAAGGTAACAAGTTTTTCAAATTCCTCAGAATTCATGTAGCATTCCATTTTGCAAGGGCAAGCAAATGGCTTAATCCCATTCACCTCCCTGATCCTGATTTGGCGTCTAATCTCCTCTATGGTCTGAACGCAGGGTTCAGAACCAAATGGGTACTCCCGGAGAGAATGTAAGCATGAAGGTGTGCTCTTTGAAAGACACACTGTTGCCCCGGGCAAAGAATGAGTATTTTCTTCAGCTGAGGCCAGGACAATATATGAAGGAGACCTTGTCTCAGATAGGACTTGGGACCTAAATCCTAACACTGCTGGAGTTACAGCAGGGGCTTTGGGCCAGATAGTTACCTCAGACCAGTCCTTGGGCCTGTTTTTTTCATTAATTTCAACCACAGGCTGGGGCCTAACTATCCTGCTCACAGGTTTAGGATTAGGGTCAAAACTAGTTTCATCTCCATCCCAAAACCAGTTCCCAATAACATTTTCTTCCTCCTCTTCAGCCCCTGGCCTAGCCTTAGAGCTAGCCCCGGCCACAGGCTCTAACTTCTCAGCACAAGATGGAGTACCAGTATCAACATTACCTTCATCCTTATCACTGGAATGATTACCAGTCTCTTCTCCATTCCAGAACCAGGGACCAACATTGGTCTCTTCCCCAGCCCAGAACCAGGCATCAATACCAGCTTTCTCTTTACACGTGGACCTGGACTCAGCACTAGCCTCAGCCACAGAATAACCTGGAGATACTCGAGTGGCCTCATCTTCAGCTTTGGGACTGAAATTTGCCAGGGCTCCTTCTTTCCTCTCAGGAACAATGTTGTTCTTAGACACTGCCTTCATCTCTGCCACTGCATTCGCCTGAAACCCTGGCTTGGTTATTGCTTTAGCCTGGGTCTTGGCTACAGGTCTGACTATGTCAGCAGCCTCCCTCTTTGTTTTAGCTTCTACACCAGTTTTCTTTTCAGTTTTGGCCTTGTTTCTACTCCTAGTCATGGTTACAGCCCGATTACATCAACGGCCCTATAGAGTCATGGCATTCCAGGTCAGTATCTTGACACACTTTCACTGGGTCAAAGCTAAACTCTGTAGCAAGAGTTAGAGTCAACTGCCAGTTTAGCAGTCACGCAGTCCCCTTTCCAAACACAATGCCTCTGTCAATGATACAGGCAGGGGGAAGAGGCACTCAGACTGAAGGAAGACGATGGTTCCTAGGTGCAGACCTTTTGAAAGTGATAATCTTCTGTCACTCCAAGGCCACCACAGCCACCGCTGGAGATAGACCTGAGGTGAAGAAGGAAATGGATTTTGAGCTTCCTCCAAGTGCGCTCATCTATGTGGACAGCCACACAGGACATGAGAGAGTAGAGGTGGACTGTGTGATAGAAGTGGAATCGTAGATGACTATTACCTCATTTTAGCCCTTCCACACTCCTCCTAATGCCCACCAATGTCCTGCCCAGGCACTACCACACTCTTCTCTGCATTAAATAAGGGCAGGGATGATGGGAAAACTTGCTGAAAGTAAGAGAGACCATAGAGCATCTAGCTCCTTTGTTATACACCACTATACTCTATAGGTCTATCCAGGCGGCCTCACACTGACCTGCACTGATCTCCCTCCTTTCTTTCGTGCTTCCAGTGTTAGTAAGCCCGACAGCTGAAATCACAGGAACACCTATGGGCAACACAGGAGGGAATGGAATTCAGAGTTCTGGTAGTCAGACATGCACTTTGGTTTTTAAACCCAATACCTACATTTCCATATCTGGGGCTTTGGTTATACAGTTAACTCTTGAACAATGTGGGGGTTACAGGCAATGACCTCCTCCACAGTTGAAAATCCACATATAACTAAAATAGGCTCTCTGCATATATGAATTCCCAACCCAAAAGTTGCATCTTGTACAATGCAAGTTTGAACTGCAGTCAGTAAAACTGTGTGGGTCAACTGAACTGTGACCAATTGAAAAAATTCCACATATATGTGGACCCATGCAATGCAAACTCATGTTTGTTCAATGGTCAACTATATATTTTTCACCTTCTTGGTCCTCCTCATGGCTTCCTTTCCCATTTCCTGGGCATCTATCAATAACCCTATAGGCACAATCCTGGCTCACCCCATCCCCATTTCCTATACACAAATGTGAAGGCAGAGCTATCTAGAATGATGGAAGATAATGGCTCCGAGATACAATTAAGGCCTCATCCACTTGCCAACAGCCAATTCCCATATCTAATCAATAGAGGTGCTCATGCTCGCACTCACCTTGGATCCAGATGAACAGTTTTGGTGCTCTTTCTTAATTAAATTCAAAGTCAACAGCTATCTCCAGATTTCTACAGGAACCTATAAAGAAACCAACCTACGGATAAACAAACAGGCAGAGGAGAGAAAACAGGAGACTGAAATGGTCCAATATGCATGACAAGTATTGTAACATGTGCTTTTGTATATTCAAGGTCATGTTAAATATCTCCCACCTGTCTGCTCCTGCCAAATGATTCCCCATCCATTCCACTAAGACCTGCAGTGTGTCTAATTACACCCAACTTTGAAATCAGTCATTTTCCAAGCAGAAGCCACACTTCCTTGCTTGAACAAAAATATGAGGTGCAAGAGTGGGTAGTGGAAAATATGCAACTATGTTTAGAGAGTAGGCAGTAAAAATATGTCGACTGTTATTTCAACAGAATGTTTGCATGCCCCTGCCCTTTCCCCTTCGCCATGTGTATACAGATCCTACCTTGTTCACCACCTATGCCGGCCAGCCCACACAGCAGATCTCAGGAGATGCTATCCTTCCCACCAAAGAACAGTTTTCTAGCTGGAGAACAGTCACGCCATACAGAAAGAGGGAGGAGTATTTAGCAAAACACCAAGAAAATATGTTGACAATAATACAAAAATTTCAGGTTAATGAATAGATACCCAGAGTTCATGTCCTAACACTTCCTTTTCAGGAATCAGGAAATAAGCAAATAAATGGCTCTCAACTCCCAGGGTTCCTCAGGTATCCACTCTCATACACTCCACAAAATCTTTTCTGAGACTGTCGCTGCACCAAAATGGAAGGGGCTGTGAAGGGTAGTTGGAGATGGAGTTTAGGTTTCCTGAACTACAAATTAAATAAGCAGACTGACTTCGTGCCTTCGAAATGGACTCTTCAGAAAACTTCCCCCTCTACTCTGAACCGTCATTACCGCAACACATTAAAGTGAACTGGGATGCTGAGTAAACAGAAACTGAATGAGAAAAAGGGATTAATAACACACAATTTATTTACATGGACTCCTCACCTTGTGATTTACTTGCCTTTAATTGGGTGCAACACCTAAACATGGAAGGTAATAGAACTGCCATATTAAGAGACCATTAAACATTTCATTCTGGTATCTTCTCAATCTACATATTCAGCCCCTCTTTGTTGAAATCAAAAAGGTAGCAATATAAGGAGATAAGGCAGTAAGTCAAGGGAAGTGCCTAGAAGCTGGTACACAGGGAAATTTAAAGATTCCTGGAAGCTTGACCTGCTATGGTGCCCAGTCAATGGCTGCCGCCCACCAACCCCCATCCCCACACACCTCCTGAAATCCACGCTATTTTCCTGCTCCAACTTCTTCTCAAGCCGCTCCTCTACAGATGCACCCTGCCGCCTGAAATCGCCAGACCTAGTCCGCAGACCGGAGACTTGGGCATCAATGAGGTGCCTGTTGGAAAGGAGAGCACCCAGGAAGCGGGGCCCAACTGGCCCCCTTCCAGAATCAGAGGCCGGAGTAGCCGACGCCAACGCCCCCTCCCCCACATCCGCCTCCAGCCCAACTCCCGCTCCGCCATTTCTCCCGCAGCAGCCTCCCCCACAGCCCTCTCCCAGTACCGACACCGTCGGAGGCGGGGTGCGGGCGCCAGGAAAGGCTGGGGAGCAGCCGGCGTGGTTCGCCCCGCAGGACCACACGGAGCCTCTCCGGCCACCCCAGCGCCCCGGGCCCGGCCCGCGCCAGTCTCCGCCGCCTCCTCGCCAGGGTCCCCCGGCGCTGCGCACCTCTCTAAGGCACCGGCTCCGACTGGCCGGGCTGCCTCCTCCTCGCCAGGCTGCCAGGGCCTGGGCGCGAGCTGTAAGCTGGTGGAGAGTGGGCCCCAGCCCCCGCCCCCACCCCCACTGCACCCCCCACTTGCCCTTACAGGCTCAGCGCCCGCGGGGTCGTCTCCCCGGCTCCCGGAGCTCTTCACTCAGACTCCCACAGCCTTCCGTACGCTCCGAATTGCAAAGAGGGATCCCGCCTCCCCAAGCCTCCCCCCGCCCGCGCGCCGCTGCACCAAAACGGGCAGGGGCTGCGCAGGCTGCGGCAGGAACAGCTGGCCGCGAGAGTCTCGGCACGGGGGCGGAGGGATACGGCGCGAATGGACCGACGCCCCCTCCCAGCCCACCGTAGTTCCGACCCGGAGGGGGCGGGGCCGGGGCCGGGGCCGCGAGGAGCCCTGGCCGGCCTCCTTGGACCAAGGCGGCCCCCTACCTGGCGACCACCCTTACATTCCCGGCACTACAGTCTCTGGGACCGTCGGGCGGGGTCCGGGTGGCGGGACCGGGAGGTCGGGAGCAGCTGCGCTGGAGGCAGCAGCGGATGGATACAAGCCGCCCCTTGGTGGCTCTAAATCCCAGACTGCTCTGTCGGCCTACCTCCCCTCCCCCATCCCACCGCCGTCCTTCCTGGACGCTGCTGGGAGAGGGGCTGTTGAGGCCTGCGCGCTGGGGAGGGGAGAGGCGATCCGAAGCCAGGCCACCCCAGACGTCCTGGGATAGCCCCCAAGGTCTTCTCTTACTGTTCACGGTGAGGGAGGGGAGGAAGGTAGGAGGGGGCCGCCATGGAGGCCTCGCCATTTGCTCCTCTTCTATAGGAGGGCAGGCCTAGATCTCTAACCCTACGAAACAATCCACTGCTCTGCTGCGCCCAGTCATTCTTTCTGTCACACTGCTTTTTCTCATTCGAAATGGTTACCCGTGTTGCCATTTTGCGGTCGCCACAGTTGTCCAAGAGTTCCTGTCCCTGACAGGACCCACGCTGGTCATACAACCTTCCCTGTCTGTCGCCCCACAGCCAAGTATCAAGCACCAGATAGGGCAGGTCCTGGATTCTCTGCCTCTGTTCTGTCAGATCTTCTCTTGCAGTCACATCGAAGCTCTCGTGATCTTTGGCAGAGTGGAAATGGGGCAGGGATTAGAACCAGCTTGGACCTCAGCCGCTTCCCATGCGCACCTGTCTAGTGTATCCATTAGAACTGTTAACACATTAATCGTACATATTTTAAATTCCCTGATAATTACACAATCTGCATGGTATTTGAGTCTGGTTTTGATGTTTGCTTTGTATTTTCAAACTGTGCTTTTTCTTGTCTTTTAGCATACCTTTTAATTTTTTGTTGAAAAGTGGATTATGAAGCATTGGGCAACAGGAACTGAGGTGAAGAGATCCTTAGCAAAAAGTTGTATGTAGGCTGGTTAGCAACTGAGCTGTGTGTAATGTTCGCTGTAGCTGTAGGTACCAGAGTCTTCAAATTCCTCTATTGTCCTTATTTTTATCTTACCTTTTATCTTTGGGCTTCCCTAAGTACTCCATGTAGAGAGTCTGCATGTTACACCTCTTTTAGCTATATTCCACTCCTATTATACTGGAGGTTTGTGATGTGGTAAAAACGTGTGGAGAGGGTGCTCTATAATCTTAAATTCCAGTCCTTTGTGGGCCTGTTCCTAGGCTGTGTCCTTCACAAATATTTCTTAGCTTCTTTCTCCCACTTATGTGAAAATTGAAGACTAGACTAGGCTATTTGGGAGGAATGCCTCTCCCTCAACAGGGATGAGGCTCTGGGAAAGTCTCTTCCACTGCAGAGTAGGCCTTTCCCATGGAGAAGGCTCTGGGTGCATTTCATATGAGCACACTTCCCCTCCCACTGCCAGAGCCATGAGATCTTTCTGGGATCTCCATTGTAAGAACCTGCTAGAGTTCCTGGATTCAAAGCCCACTAAACCTTTGACTGCAGGTTGGGTTTCTCACTCTCATACCACTCCACATGCAGTCTCCTGTAATTTGTCAAAAGTAGTATTTAAGTCTTCTCCCTTGTTTATGTCTCCAGCTGTTTGTGCTCTATGTAAAGAGACAGAGGCTGTGACTCTGGATTTGTCTTTTCTCAAGTATTTGGGGTGGTCATTTGCCCTGTGAACTCAGTTTTCTGATACGTCTAAGATAAGTCATTGATTCTCAGTTTTGTTCAGCTTTTTTTTTTTCCTGGTTATACGTACAGAAGCAATGACTTCCAAACTCTTTACAGGTCAACTGACTCTGGAAGTCTGGACTATGGATTTTAACTGGGTAGCTAAACTCCAGTGAAGAGCTTTTGTCCTCTTCTTTTCAGCTGAACCTCAGATTTGGAAATAAAATTGCTCTTGGAAACCTAGCCAATCCGTAAGTATTAGCTCTTTTCTCTCCCAGATATTGGAAATTTACACGACTCCCTGAACTTGTCATCACCGTCTCCAAATTCTTAACCTGGAGTGCAGATTAGAATTCAGACTTCCTGAATCAAAGTTCTTGGTGGTAAGGTCTGAGCAACAGTAACTTAACCCTAGGAGAAGAAAGTCTTCTCTGTCACCACCACTACCACTACCACGAGTCAGTGCACCAACTGCTAGGTGCTTGCTTATAGTAACCAGTTTCTGAGCCCTGGAAACTCTAAATGGAGGCTACATGGTAGAGTCAGGATTTTCTCCTCTGGGTTGTACTCTGGGACTGGGCTAGACTTCAGAGCCAAGCAAGTTTGTATTCAAACTTTGGACTCAAAATCTGAATAGAGACTTCGCCACTAGCTATTTGTGTCACTTTGGAAAAGGTACTTCATGTTTTTGTAACTCAGTTAATTCATCCCTCAGTGGCAGCTGGTAATAAGTACCTCACAGGATTCCTGTGCACACTAAATGAGAAACTTTATGATATTCTGAAATAACTCATGGATCAGGTCTTTCTACCTCCTTTTAAAAAATGTGATCTAGTCACATTACGGGGTAGGCTGGGCTAAGTAGGAAAGAGTAGATAAGAACTCCATGGTGGTCTTTATTGCTAAGACACTGCCCTGTGCTCTGTATTACTATAACTTCAGTGCTCCGTAATATTCTGTTGTGCCTACCATAACTAACCCCACTCTAAAAGAACATTATTCTTTCATAAGTATGCCTCCCTTCTCCTTGTGGTCATGTACAGCAGGGAGGCTGACCTCAGTTTCAGGAGTGAGTCTGCACTTTCTGGGAGTAATCCATCCTCTTGGTATTCCCTGGTTCAGTAAGGGTTGATGATCTAACTCTGTTCAATGAAATATTAGGAGAAGACTGCAGAAAAACTAAGGAAAGTGTCCTCCCTCATAAGAAAATGCCATCGGGAATAATTGTCTCCTTTTCTTTCTCAGGAAGTTGCTTGACTCCTAGAATGGTCACAGCCATCAAGCTTCCAGCCTTAGGGTGAAAGCTGATACTGTGAATGGCAGAAGGAGATGTTAAAAAACTGAGTTCCTAGCAGAATCAAACAACCGTCTAGGCCCCAGTACTTCCAATCTGCAGGTTGTAAATTTCCTTAATAAGTTAGTTTTAGCTGAGTTACTTGTTATATGAAAATGGAACAATCTTAAATGATATGTACGCTCAGGCACAGAACAACTCTTCAGTGAGTAAAGGTTCCTGACTTGTCTGTCAGTGAGCACTTACCTCTTAAAACCAGTGGCAGAATAAACTCATGTTTCCATGTGAAAGGAAAACTGTAGATTCTGAATGCCTTGCCTAATGATAGCGAGAGGTCTGACAACTGTGATTGCCTTCAGTTCTAGATTTAAAAGGAAAGCCTCAGGCAGAAAACCTAAACCCTTACTTATCTAGGGGGTTCAGAGGTCTATTAAATTCTTGAGCTTATAGATAAGCCTGGTTTCAATTTGGAGTCATTGTATGAAAATGAGCCCTTATAAAATGTCTGTAATGTAAAGATATCAGAGGTTATGTGTTCAATTTAGGGGGCTGTACTGAGTGTGAGAAAGATAAATTCATGATATCAACAGAAAGATTTCGTTAACTTTCCCCAGGCACAGTGCATTAAAACAGATGGATATTTGGGATTGATCAAGAGCTGGGATTTTTGCTACGACAGAGAAACTAGGCACTAAATGATAAGATAAAAGAGTCAAAAAAGATGGACCATGAATAACCATTAAGTTGGGAAGGACAGAAAAGCTGAAATAGACTGATACACAGGAAAAAGGGGAAAAAGGACAGAAGGTCTAATAGTACACGGGTTTAAGTGTCTTTATGATGAATAAAGTACCATAAGCTGTAAGGAACAGAAAATGTGATGAAGATATGACAGGATGATGGCAGCTTTTAGTGATACTTAGCACTAGAGAGATATAGACATAGCATGGTGATAATGCACAGCAGCTCCAGATTCAAACTAAAAAAGGTCTGAATCTCAGCTTTTCCCAGCTCAGGGAGCTTGGCCAAGTTACTTAATCCATCTGTGCCTCAGCTTCCTCATATGTGAAATGGAGACAACAACAGCATCTATCCCATACATTTATTTGGAGGATTAAATAAGTTAATACATTTAGAACCCTTAGAACAGTATCTGATATGTATCAAATACCCAACATATCTTAACAATAATTACTATTATAAGTAATAAAAGGCTCAGGTTTTGCAATCAGACAGATGGGTTTGATTCATACTTCCAGAGTCCAAGTTTCTTCCTCTACGCTACCTGCCCCTCTACACTAGTTCTGTCTTATTCATTAAAAAAAAAAAAGACTCCAGTACATAGTATAAAGAAACAAATGCTAAAATAGGAGAAAATAAAAGACTGAGTAAGTATAAAAGACAGAGGAATTACTTCCTACCGAGAGGCAAAAAGTAAACATGAGGGTATCAGAAGGACTTCAAACAGGCCCTAGCATTTGAGCTGAGCCTAAAAGGATGAACGTGTTTCCCTAGGCAGAGAAATGATTGTGAGACTAGGGACAGTCAAGCGAACAGTGGGGAAAGGCACAGAAGTAGTAAAGCACAGAGTATAACTGGGTTGGGAACTAGCATACAGCCCAATGTGGCTTCAGTGCAGGCAAAGTGAAGCAGGGCTTGAGTTGAGTTAGGGTAAGACACCCGACAGTGAGTGCCTCCTTAAACTGTGTCCTTATTTCATTCCAATTCTGGCCCTGACTTGGAAGAATGTGTTGGGATATGGAGACAGAAAGGTGGAATCGTATGAAAGGGTGCAGGGCCTTTAAACCCTACATAGGGAACCTTGTAGTATTTTATAGATGAGATCCCATTGAAGGTTGCTCTTTTGAAATTGGGGGCAGAGTGTCAGTGGGT